GGGGTTGCAGCGGTAACCCTACATACTTGCTACGGGACTTTGTTGAAGCAGTATTTGGTAGCAACTTCTGCACTCACAGAGGAGACAACTACGTTGCTGCACAGAGCTGGGAAGTTGGAAAAGGTTTTGGTTCAGATGGTGGTTGAAGACTCTGTTGAATGTGAAGATGGAGGCAAAGCAATTGTCAGGGAGATGGTGCCCTATGAAGTTGATTCCATCATACTGAACCGTATGAAACAATGGATTCAAGAAATCCTAAAGAAGGGGAAAGAATTACTCCTTAGAGCGAAAGAAACTGAAGTAAGTTTGATAAAACATGTATTTATATCTTTTGACAGTGGCAGAATTCTTACATCTATTAACATGAATTGATATGTAACACACATACCCGAGACTCCTTATATGTGTGCAGCAACAACTTGACATACAGAATTTTGCATTGTAGACATGGAATCCCAAGTCCAAGACCGAGCCATATGCACATTCTGCTGTAGAGCTAATGAAGCATATCAAGGATTCTTTGGACAGCTTCCTCCATACCCCAGTGAACTTATCTGAGGATCTGGTCCACACTCTCACTGATGGATTGGAGCATCTCTTCAGAGATTACATTACCTTTGTTGCATCATGTGGTAAGAACTGGCACTGAATCTTTCCACCAAGTAGTTGTCAATGAAAGATATCATCCTGAACACAGATAATTGCATATATAGGGATGTTCATATCATACTCTGAAATCCTGTTCTCCTCTAAATACCAACCTGGTTGTCCCTTTTTGAATGTCTAGCTTCACTAATCATGCAAGTTGCAGCCGCTGGACAGTATTACTCTAAGTTTCCTCTTTTGCCTCATGGTCTTCTTCTTTGTGCTGATAAATGATAACGTAGACAACTAAAAGTTGGATCAAAATATGCATTGGAATCAGCAAAATTATGTGATCACTGTGTAACTCACTGGGTTTTTGCTCCACTCTTCAGGATCAAAGCAAAGTTATCTCCCTATACTTCCCCCTTTAACACGATGTAGCCAAGAAACAAAGTTTTCTAAACTCTGGAAAAGAGCTGCCTGCAGTGTTGGCATAGAAGACCCAGGCCAAAATATGCTAAATGAAGGCAACCATCCGCGGCCTTCAACAAGTCGCGGAACACAACGCTTGTACATCCGTCTTAACACCTTACATTTCCTCAATTCACAGCTCAACTCTCTTGATAAAACATTGTCCCTGTCGTCAAAAATTGTTCCTTCACCACATAGCCGCATTAACAACAGGAATAGACAACTTGGGGATTCCTCCTCCTACTTTGATCACGCTCGCTCGGCAATTCATGTTGCTACTCAGCATGTATGTGAAGTTGCTGCTTACCGTCTAATCTTCATGGATTCGAACTCTGTATTCTACGGAAGTCTATATGTAGGTGATGTAGCAAATGCACGTATTAGGCCAGCTCTGAGAACACTTAAGCAGAACCTTACTCTATTATGTGCAATTGTGACTGAAAGAGCTCAACCACTAGCTCTAAAAGAGGTAATGAGAGCTTCCTTTGAGGCCTTCCTTATGGTTTTGCTTGCTGGGGGAAGCTCCAGAATCTTTTTTCGGTCAGACCATCAGATGATTGAGGAAGATTTTGAGAACCTGAAGCGGATGTTTTGTACATGTGGAGAAGGTCTAATCGTAGAGGATGCAGTAAACATAGAAGCTGAGACAGTGGATGGTGTAGTGGCATTAATGGGCCAATCTACAGAACAATTGATGGAAGATTTCAGTATTGTGGCCTGTGAAGCCAGTGGCATAGGTGTAGTTGGTGCTGGGCAGAAGCTTCCTATGCCACCAACAACTGGAAGATGGAATAGATCAGATCCCAATACAATTTTGAGGGTACTGTGCCACAGAAATGATCGAGCTGCTAATGACTTCCTAAAAAGGTCATTCCAATTAGCAAAGAGAAGAGGATGAAAATAATACCAGTTTACATGAGATTCTGCCACTAAGGTTGATCTTAACTGAGGAGCGTGTGAGGCAGGTATATGATCATATGATCTTTGAATGCTGAGTTCAGGAAATACACTTTTACGGAAAAAGATGATGTATTTATTCATTGTTGTATACTAGTACAAAGATATATTTGGAGATGAGAGAACATTATACTAATCATGGTCTTCTTTTTTTATAGACCTACGCAGCATTAGCAACTAACTGTGGTTGAGCATTTCAAATGGATATGTTTTTCTCTTTTGCATCATCCACTCTGCATGGGCCATAATTGATCAGAAATACACCTGGGAAATGAATTAGTTCAAAAATAGAAGCAAGTCTTGTGGAGAAGAAGCTTCAACTGGTTCCTATCCGATTTCGACCATCAAATTTATCAGCACAAGGACATCAGCAAAACACGCTGGTTTCATGATGGAAGAGCTCTTGCAGCTGCTGACTTGCTGATATTGACATGTATCTTCGGATGGGATGTTGACTGCAGGAGTTCAAGTTTTCACAGGAAATAATTGTCTAGCATAAGTTTCTACCCTGGTTGCAAGAAAAGAATTCAAGAAGATTATCAATTCAGACAAGCCCATCTTCTCACTTTCATATTTGATGAGTTCAGAGTGAGAATCCTTGTTTTCCATATCATACAACAATAGTCGCAGAGCACCATATAACATGGATAATTTAGGAGTTCTGCCGCAGTAGCATAAGTCAAGGCCACATGAGATGCATTTGCATATGATCTTATAGTTTTGCACTATCCAAACTTTCAAAGCATCTGACTGAGAAAGTTAAAACCGTCCTTATCATCGATGGAAATGAACTTTAGTTTTATCAAATCTGCAACCAGATAGCTGAGCTCTCCAAGACAGAAACCACAAAGCTAAAAGAGAACTAAATGGAAGGCTAATTCAACTTTATCTCAGACAATCTACAAAGTCACTGCAACGTAAATATGATCTTTGTAGTTTACAAACCATTGGGTCATACTCAAGAACTGAAAGTACGTTCAATGGAAGAAGAGATTTTAACATATTTATAAACAACTAAGAATGTACTTTCTACAAATCGCAATGAAAATTTGAAAAGCTATTAGCAAAAAGAGATATCAGAATCTGAAATTAAAAGTTCTTTCTTTCTTCATTTCCTTGAATCTAATTAAGTCTGCATTAACTTCCATTTTGATTTTTCTCTTAATTACTAACTTCAAAATTACGTTTTTTTTAAAGCTATTTTAAACAGTCCGTTTTGTTAAACAGATAATTGCATTCCTCATAAGTGATTATAGATAGCTGAATTTGGGATGCCAAATCTTGATTTGATAGGAGTTGAGTTTAACTTTTCCCCAGATGATCAGAAAGTCTGCGGCTTTTGAGAGTGATTTCAGAAGGCGTATTTCCACCAACGAGTGTGAGACCACGCCTTTGCGTGTTGTTGTCCTGATGATATTGTGATGTTCAGTCATAAAACCCTCCAGAACTGATCAGAACTCTCGCTTTTCTCGAACATAGATCGAAATGGCGTTGTTAGAAAAGGGATTGTTGCCATTACGCTTTACAAAGGGATTGAATTAAACAGTCCAATCCTATCCCATCCCAGGTGAAAAGATTTATATTTTGCTTTTTCCAAAATCCAATCTTTAATGCCTTCTTTCATCTCTTTGGTAATATATACGAAAAGGGTTCTTGAAATTTTCAAGCAAAATTACAAATTGGAATGGTAATGACAATTAAAGTCAGCTTTAGGTTTCTAGCAATCACTTTTGATGAGAACTTGATACAAATTCTCCAAAAAGGAAGAATTGTTAGGGAAAAAAAAGATTTATCAGATTAGGTACCTTTTTTGGTGGGGTGGGAAAGCCAAAAGGTGGAGGAAAGCAGCAAGAAGGGAACATGGAAGGTGAGATTTGAATCACGTCCCGAAATGATATATAGAGTCCTTAAGACGATGTTTGATTGATATTTCCTTGAGAAAGTTTACATGAAGTTCTGTCTCAGGATCTTTTTATAAACAGAGAGGGGAAAATGGATTACTTTAGGGTCTACAGTGTTTGTTAAATGTGACCTTTTGTCTGTTAAAACATGCATCTTGGTTTAGCAGCAGAGGTCATCTTCACACTATTTTATTTCTTTCCAAGGCTCAAATATTAGTGATGCTGATCTTTTCTGTTCTTTGATCATTTCAATTTGTAAATTCGATATACAAGAAGGCTGATGGTATCATGAATCAGGTTGACGTCAAAACTAATTAGGCTGAGAGAATTTTTTTTGTAGTCACCAGTTTTCTTCAGGCCTTTGTGCTTGGTTTATGATGCAAAACATAGAAAAAGATCATTGACCGTCATGGACAGAATCCTTAGCATTTTTGTGGTTTTTTTTTTTAATAATTACTTCACTGGATTTAGATTCCATGAGGAATGTAGACACAAAATCAACTACTAAAAACAGGCTAGTATGATATGTAATCTCTGCTTTCGACATTATCTTATACACAGTATCAAATGTTTGCTCAATTATATTGGTATAAGATGTTTTCAAGTATCAGTATAGAGCTATCATATATACTAACAAAATCAAATTTTGTCTCTAACATTCGTTGAGTTTAAATCTGGATAAACTCATGACATGCACTAAACAGGCAGGCGGGCCTGCAAACTTCAATTTCATGGCCATCTAGATTGGTTGGGAAAGGAGCATCATAGGAATTATTTTGGTAGTTTCACGTAGAAAGACATGGAAAGTCTTGTAGTCCTTGCATTGCGAAGCATTATTGTTGACTGCTTTTCTGAACAGTGGCCATCTAAAAGTAACAGTTTTACTGAAAACAGTTGTGCTACTGACCGTCAATTGACCATCAAAATCAACAAACAGTGAGAAATAAATAGAAAGGGAAATTAATGGGAATAGCGAAGAAACTATAAGCGATGAAAAAACCAAAATAGTAAGAACTAAAGGAAGAATGTATTCCTTTCAATTTGAATTTGCGTTCAAGCATCCTAGAATGCTCCAAAAGATGGGGGGAAAAAAAGGAAAAACTAAAACATAGTACTGCATGTTGATGCAAATTTGCTGTCCTGGATTACCAAGAGAGAATTGCTAGAAATAGAGATTTCAAGCAGATAACTTAAAATATTTGTTGTAGTACATTCATAGGGCTCTTAAGGAAAGATGCAAATTAAGATTTCAGATATCTGAGCTGAAATATTTGCTGCAACACGCTGTAGGGCCATGCAGGAAAGCCAGTTCGGGCCTTCTGACAGCTTTATTTCATTCCTCCTCTCTGCTTCTAAAACATAACAGTACATTTTTTAGCTTAAGGAAAAGCTAGTTTCATCTTAGTTGTGCGAGAAAGCACCAATCCATGCTTGTGATGCTAGCAATTCTTATTACAAAATAATGCTCCTGTTGAGTCTCAAGCTCCTTTCCATGCAGATGAATTTTAGCCCTCTTGAGAACATTCTTGATTAGCGTTTGTTATCCGCCAGCTCTACTTGGTAAGCATCTTTCCTTGACCCCTCTAGTTCTTCTTTTAACACTTCCATTGAGTCCGAAATCTCAGCCTTGTAGTGAAAGAACTTGGTCACAACCAGGAAAAAAAGGAAATTCAGAAAGCCTACTACTGCAAGAAATGCAAAATACAAATCGAGGCGAGAAGTATTAAGGTTGTTTTGGATCCATCCTTTGTGACCACCCTCCCTTGTGATGCGAGAAACTGCTGAAAGAATGAAACTGCTAAGGAAGTTGCCACCTGCCACACTAGTCATGGAAAAGGAAGTCCCCAAACTCTTCATGCTCTCAGGTGCCTGATCGTAGAAAAACTCAAGTCTTGCAACCTCTGTCATTGCATCAGCCACTCCCGTAAGGATAAATTGTGGGAGCAATATAAATATGGTCAATGGGAGTTGGCCTCCGGTTTGATCTAGACCATGTTCCTTGGCCACATTAAGCCTGTGCCTTTCTGTCAGGGAGGCTACGATCATAATGATAATGTGGAGCACAAATCCAAGTCCCAGTCTTTGAAGGAGAGTGATGCCTCTTGGATTCTTGGTCCACTTGCTAATATTCTTGACAAAGACACGATCATACAGCACCACGGTAAGCAGCATGGTTACTGTCACAAAAGCACCTAAGCTGGCTGGTGGCAATTTGAAATGCTTACCCATGCCCCTGTCCAGAGTAGTGCCTTGCTTAATGAAAAGAGTATTGCTTTGTGCAACTATTACGTTTGGAAGGAATGTGGTCATCAATATAGGTAACATTTTCAGCATCTGTTTGGTCTCCTCAACTTCTGTAACTGAGCATAACATCCACATACTTGTTGAACCTGTTTGCACTGCTGCTTTGTTCAGGTACCTAAATTAATGCATTTCAGTTAGACAACTATGGAACAAGATGTTATTCAGATTTTTAAAAAAATTTAATCTGTAATAGAGAAGCAGTTATAGTTAATTATGGGAAAAATGCTAACCTTAATGTGGTTGTGGATTCAATTTTGAATTTGCCCTTCTTGGTGTATTCTTCAGCATCAAGTTCATACAGTTCTTTGGGATGAGTAGGGACAGGTACCCTCCATTTCTTAACAGTAGCCACTATGACTCTAGCCATCTTTGTGAAGGGACTACCAGCAGGCTTCTTGTGCCTATAGAAGGGAGTACCAAACAGAAAAATGGCAATAGACAATGCAAGCCCAGCTGTAGGGATACCATATCCAAGAGCCCATCCCACATTGTCTTGAATATAGACGAGAACTGTGTTGCCAAAAAGTATCCCAAAGAATATGCTAAACATCCACCAATTGAAGAAGGAAAGCTTTTGGATCTTCTCCTTTGGATCGAAATCATCGAATTGATCCGCACCTATGGTGGAGATATTTGGCTTTGTCCCACCAGTTCCAACAGCTAAGATGTAAAGTGCAGTATAAAACACTGCCAATTCAAGTGTTGTAGCCTTTGGACAGTCAGATACATTTGCAGCATGGCAGGGAGGTGGTCTAAAGCCCGGGACTGAAACTGCTAGTGTTAGCAAGCACATTCCCTGCAATCAGATACAATTTCAGTTAGGACATGAATAATTTGCTTTATTTGCATGCATGGTCTCTCTAGATTTTGTTTACAACTCTAACTAGGTATACTACTAGTCATCTTGGACACTTGTGATTTGCATAAATGCCTTTGTATAATCTTACCTTAGCAGTAAACAGATAGTAAAAGTTTTTTTTTTTTTTTTTTGGGTCATGAAGTTACAGTTTTAACTCTTTAAAAAAAAAAAAAAACTTCACTTACTAAATCCAGCTAACTCACGAAAGATTAATGGAACTAATCTGTACTAATTATATTATATTAGGGATAAAATTTCAGAAACCTCCCCTGAGGTTGTTAATAATTTCATGTGCTTCCCTTAAGGTTTCAAAAATTACACCTATCTCCCTTACCCATTTAAAATGACAATACTAACCTTAATATTCTAATAAAACTCTCTTGTTGCCATGTTTATACAAAGGATGGATTTTATAATTTTTTCATATTTCCTTCTTATTCATTTCTCTTATATTTCATTGAAAGTATAGAAGAACTATCAATGTTGTCGCTAATATTAATCCAGATCAAATGTTAAACTAGTAATTTTTTTGATGACTTTTAATATCATCCAATTTTTTTTGTAGCTCTTTTTTTTTATATCAAAATAAAAAATAATTAAAAACAAATGGCCCAAAATCACTGCCAAACTATGGTAGTTCCATCACTAAACTAGTCCATATACTTTTATTTAAAAAATAGTCTATAAACTTAAAAAACACAAGGTAATACTTTTTTCTCTATCTTAAAAAGAATCTATATTCCCAATAAAGCACTATAAAATATAGCTTATCATGGCAAATGATTTATTGTTATAGTTGATTATTAAATAACAAATATTAGCATAAAAAACTTGAGACTCTTTTTTTTTTATAACTGTGTCAAATTACTTTACAATTGTTTGGAAGAATGAATTAAACTTTATAAGATAAGTGCATTATGGGGTATTTATTAAATTTTTTTTTTACCTTATTTTAACGTTTGGTTACCAAAGTGTCAAATCAAGGGAGGTAAGTGTAATTTTTAAAACTTCAAGGGAACTAAGTGAAATAGTTAAAAACCTTAGGGGAGGTTTCTAAAATTATCCCGTTATATTAATATCAGAAGACAGATGCCTCTGATCATAGCCAGTAAAGAATATGTTTTTTCTTACTTAACTTTTGTGTTTAGTGAGATTAAAGAAGATCACATATGAACGTGCAGCATGATTGGAAATTGATCTTTCTGGTTATTAATTGATTTAGATAAACTATCTGTCATTAATTAGCAAAGGAAAGGACCCGCATGCTATTTCAGCAATCTGAAGATGCATTTTAATCAGCATCAAATTCTTCTCTTTTCGTGTATTGATATATGCATTTTTGGAATAAACTCTGACAAAGTTATTATTCTCATATAAAGCTGACACATTTGGCATTTCAATATTCGACTTAGGTCTTCGTCTACGATAATCCTATGGTTGGCTCTCTAAATGATTCCCCAATTATATCCCTCAGACCCAAAAAAGAAAAATAGGAGACAATAGATATATTAAAAAGCAAAATATAGTTCCCTGCTTTATGAAAAGTTTCTTTCCTTCCTTCTTCAAGCATTGCACAACCTCGAGAAAAAACTAGAAAAAAACTTTTTCTCTAGCTGTTCCATTCACTAACTTTTAAGTCTTTCATGCTGAAACCTTGTTTGGATTGTCATTTTTTTTCAAAATTTTTTTTTTTTACGTTTTTCTTGAACGTATGTTTTAATTACCTTTTTATTTCGTAGACATCAAATCGCTGTAATATATTTTTCTACAAAAACTTCAGAAAATAGCAATTCAAACAACAAGAATTAGTTTAACAAGTTGAGTAGAACAATTTCATCACATTTACAGGGGACAGACATAGTGAAGAAATCTGGATGTATCAAAGCTAAAGATTTATGTAAATTATCTTGAAAAGATGACTCTTGTTTCTTATCTTAGTTTTCAAAATTGTCTAAAATACAGATACGATAAACAAAATTCAAGAACTAGTAACAAAAGATGAGCACCTAATTTAATCATGCTGAATATCTAAAAAGTTAGATACACTAAATTACATGTCCAATATCAATCGAAGCACTAATAGGTGAACTAAGCAATTTAATATATTGTAATTATTTGGCATTAGTTTTATAAGTTATCATAAACACATTGTCAGAGTTTAAGTCTGACAGTTGTTAGACAGCATCTGTGGGGGTGCATTAGTCTTGATGTGACAATATTCCTAAACAAGGCAGATCAAGAATTTCCATATTCTAGTCAAGACATTTGATGCTAATTTCCATTGATGAAGATTCCAAATATGGTCTCAAAAAGTATACCATGATCTACTTGTTATATGATCCATGCCTTGTATATATTCTATAGTTCAGATAAGCCTTAAGAAAGAATCAAATTAAATGCGACCTGGATTGTTTATTACAAGATGCCTCTTGATTTGGTAACTGTGCCTAAAGAATCATTAAAAGTACATCTATTCAATCATTACATACCACCTTATAGTTATGGATTAATCATCTATAAACTGACAGTGTATACACTTTCACCATTGGATACATAATACATAATTCAAATTTAAATTTGAAATCCAAATTTTACATATGTGTCGTGCATCCAATCGTGATAAATTTATATACTGTCAATGTTTATAAGATTTATTCTATAATTATATAAAGATATTGTGTATGTGTATGTGTATGTGTGTGTATACACATATATACGCACACACGTACACATACTTGCACTTCACACCTAGCTAGCAAGTGAAAGTACTTTATTATTCAAGTTATGAAAAGCCATGATGTATGTATCATGAAATCATACGTGCATCTTTGTGGGGTTTTCATAAAAGCAAAATTATGAATTTATTCTCACTTCTCTTTTTTGTTTTTTCTCACTTCTCAGTGGATATGATTTATTGGACTTTCATTTGTGCAGCAATCATGCTTGAACAGAAGACATGGTTGCTTTCTAATTTCCATTTCAATTACATTTCTTTCACTTGACCAAATTTCATTGACATTTTGCAAATACTTTCAAGCTGGAATGCTTTTGTAATCATTTCTCATTCTGATTTTAGTAATACCAACTACATTCTAGGTCTCAGAGAGCTGCATATGCTGAAAATTGTTTACCCTTTTAATATAATGCAATAAAATAAAAAATCGACACTTTGACTAACATCTTTCTTTTTTTTTTTTTATTTGTGTTACAAAATATTAGTGCCTCCGACATGCAAGACAAAATTTTCAAAAATTTTAATAATAACAGCATAGAAAATATTAAAGAACTTTTCTTAAGTATTGGCAGATGTCATCAATTTTTGACTTCGTCATCCACTTTGACTTAATTAGTGGCTAAAACAATGATAAAGAAATGGTACACTGATTAAGAGTTAAGACAGGACTGATCTAGTGCAGAGAAGCATACCGAGAGATAGATTGCACAAGCAATCACAAACGTCCAATATCTGCCAAGATAAGCATCAGCAACATATGCACCCAAGATTGGAGTCAGCCATATGGTACCAATCCAATAAGTCACATTATTGGATGCTGTCACAGTCCCTTGATGCAGTTTTTTGGTCAGATACAGAATGAGATTTGCTGAGATTCCACAATATGCCATCCTCTCGAACACTTCATACACTGCTCAGAGAAAAAAAAGAACAAATGAAAAGAAAAAGTTCTAATTAAAATCAACCCTTGAAAAGGGTCAACGTAGAAATTTATATTTGCACCAAAAAAAGAGTTGATTCTAAGTGATTGATTTAATTTTTTTTCTTGGGAGTTGGCAGTGGGTTATTTAATAGTTGACAATCATGGTCTCAAAAAAATTAAAAAAATAATAAGCATGATGGACCGAGTGACACAGAAGCTTTTGGATTTTTCATCTTCTATTATTGGTTTTAGCGTAAGAATTGGATGAAAGACAAAAATGAAAATATATAATATGACTAATTTATGGTCAAACAAATTACACCTCCTTGTCGTGAGTGACACAAGTCGTAAGAAATACTATTTCTTTATTTTTACTCTTGTCACGGATATATCTTTTAGGAGGCTAGTACACAGAAAGTGATGGATATTGAAGGAAACATCTTAACAAGTTTACCCAAAATGAAGAATCCTCAGTTTTTGCATTATCTTATCAGGAATTGTAGCTTTTCAGTTTTCATGGTTCCAAAAAATAAAAAAAAAAATAAAATCTTAGTCTAAATCAGCTTTTTTTTATTCCCTTCTAAATAATCTTTATGCATGATAAGGTAATACTAACTATAATATGTTCTTTGTCTGCTCCTTCAAGTTTAGGGGCTATGTGGAAATATGACAGAAGCGTGAAATTGTCAAGCCGAAAATCAAGAAAGTGTCCATCCATGGAGTAGGCAACGTGCAGTTATTAATCATCTACATACATAGATACAAAAAAACAAGTTTTGCCGATATATATGGTGTTGGGCTGCAATTTAATGCATCTCCATGTATCTATATATTAAGGTTTTCAGAATATCAAGAAAATAAGATTTGAAAAAACTCATTTTGGTAATGGCTTAAAATTATAGAAGAAGTTACCAAAAGATAATTAACACGTCGTTTCACCACATACTAATTTCAATTCAATACAATTGAAAAGGATAGAAAAGGGTTAGTGGAAAGATGAAAGTAGGGAGTGAAAAAATGGAGTAATTTATGGTTAGTTTGCTAGAATCAAATGCTAATGATGCATAGAAGTCGTATGGTTAACAAAAGTTAATTGAGTCTTGGTTTCTTTTTAATAAAGAAGTATGGAGGTAGTTGGATTACTTGAAGCTTTATGGTTTAACTCCCAGCAAAATAACACACTATTTCTGTGGATCATTTCCCCTCAACCCAAACCCCATGGAAAACAAACGTATGGAAAAAATTGCGCTAATTTTTGTATTGAATGAACTCAGTACCACATCCACTTAAGAGTTATGATATCACATTACCTCTGCTAATGGCCATGGATGAAAACCAACAGGAAAAGAAAAAAAGAAAGGGTGAGGAAAGAAATGGATAAAGAGACAAGGAAAAAGAATAAAGAAGAGTACCGACTATGAAGGAACAAGCTTTCCATCTTCCTCTTTTTGATCTCAGAACAGGGTTTCCTTTGAGATCCACTGTTCCATCTTGAGTATAATCACTAATCCCATCCTCCATAGCCATGTTAACTTACACAAACAAAAAAGAAGAATTCAAGACTTGCGTATGAACTCGTGTTTCACCAGCTATTTTATACAATTACTTCAACAAACAAGACGAAGAATTCAAGACTACTAACTTGTGAATTCTTGTGTCTCACTAGCTATTTTATACAATTACTTCAACAAGAAGAGAACAAAAAGAGAGGAAATGAGAAGGGAAACTTCGGTTGTTTGTTCCCAACTCCTACAATGGCTCTCAGGTTTCTGCCCCTTTAATAGAGGCCATGACTTAGCTTTTTGGGGGATTAATTAGTATCTTTCTTTCTTTACAACATATAATAAGAAGACGTTTTGTGGGATAATGTTCATTGCATTTCATCTGCTCTCCTCTATGGCATTTTTGTCATTTTAATCAACCATCAAGCTGCCTGTCATGTAGAGCTGTTAATCGAGCCGAGTATTTGGCTGCCAAGCTCGACTCGAGTTTAATTCGAACCAAGCTCGACTTGAGCTCGTTAGGAAAACGAGCTTTAAAATGTGTTCGAACTCGACTCGTTAAATGTACATGTGGTTCGAGCTCGAACTCAAGCTCGACTCGTTTATCACAAATGAGTTGAGCTTTACGAGCTCGTGCAAATTAACCTTAATAAAAACATATAATTTTTAATTTTTATAATACTGATTTCTAAAATGACAAATATGCCCTTTATTAACGAGCTCTAACAAGCTACTCGAGTATCAAACGAGCCGAGCTTACTCGGCTCATTAACTAAACGAGCATGTTTCGAGCTCGAGCTCGACTCGTTAACCAAAATTAACGAGCCGAGCTCGAGCCTTAACAAGTCGAGCTCTAACGAGCTTTTGAGCTACTCGATTGACTTAACAACTCTACTGTCATGCTCACTGTACTACAGCCTTTTGCATGTCCATTGATCCAGATTACGGTTTTGCCCATCTGCTTGAGCTGCATCTTTTTTCATCTGCCTTGAAAAAGGATGTTTTGGTGATTAGGATCTGCCTTGAAGAAGGATGTTTTGGTGATTAGGTGACCGTCACAAAAACTGTGTTGACAATAATAACCCAAAGGATGTTTTGGTTGACAATAATAACCCAAAAGATCCTTTTGTCTGGTGTGTAGACCATAGTTATTAAACCCGGTCCGGTCCAGCGGTTCAACCGATCAACCCGGTGAACCGGCCATAGAACCGAACCGGGTTGCTAATTAGATCGTTTGGACAGTAGAACCATTGACTTTAAGGAACTCAGTTGCTGTGCGAAATTTTTTTAGAAAATGTTGCATTGATGGTTCAAACTTGGGACCTCAAGTATAAGAATGTAGTGCAATCACCACTAGACCAACAATCCATTTGTTAGTTGTTTGGTACTTCTTATATTATATATTAGACTTTTATTCTTATTTTATTTCTTCAAAACAAAATTTATTTGGAATCTTTTAATAAAATTTTATTTATTTCCCAAATTCCATGAGGCAAATTTTAATAAAATAACATTATCTAGTTTATTTCCAAAAGTTAAAACCAAAAGTTTGTTAAAAATAATGAAATTTCCATAAGGCAAATTTAAGTTTTGTTGATTCTTATAAGAATTAATGATTCTATAATAAATTAGACTAATTGAACATTTACTAAGACATAGTTTATTATAATTTCAACCATATAAAAAATTATAAGACATAATATTTAAGTATATTTAGTGACCCACAGGTTGGACCACTCACCTACTGGTTGAACCAGTAATCTGTTGACCCACCTCTTTCACCGAGTTCCTCCCCGGGCCGGGTTTAATAACTATGGTGTAGACAACCATCTCCAAGTTAGGACCTTTCCAGCCCTCTAAAGATAATTCCTCGCCTCCTTATTAGCCTCCATCTCTATCTTCTTCTTTTTATTTTCTCTTTCTTTCACACCGTTCCATTTTTCCCTCGGCCTCTTTGTTCATCTTTTCCTTTTCCATTTAAGCGCTATTTGAGATCGTGAAAACTTCAATTATGCCGGCAGATTGCTGTGCGCTCCAATGCTGACTTTTTTTTTTTCTTTAAGTATCAGTTCCGATGTTGATGTTAATTTTTAGTTTTTTAAATCAAATTTGGCTATTTACTTTTTCCGTTTTGTCTTGATACAAAGATCTCTATTTCATATTCAATTACTAATTGAAGGATTTGAAGTACGCTAGATTTTCAAGTAAAAGTTGCCGCTGAAGCTCAAGTGGCTGCTCCTTGGACAATTAGTTATTAGTAATATCAAATAAGCTCTCCTGTCTTAGATCTCCTGTTGCTCTCTCGCCATTGCCTGTTGCCTGTTGCCTGTTGCCTGTTGGGAAGTAGAAACTTTTTGTTGAACTCGTTGCATCCTGAAATTCTATCAAGTAATTTGTTATCTTTTTATTATTCAAGTTGCACTTTTTTTTCTTTTCTTTTTTTTTTTTTTGGGAGAAGTTGATCAGGGTAAGAGACCATTTCGCAGTGTGGACCAAAATATATGCTATTCTTTTTTTTTTTTTTTTGGGGTACGAAAGAAGGATGAGGAAGGCGGAATGGAATTAAATTGAACCCTCGTTTTACAACAGGACAAGAGAGATTGTTTTATCACAATCAAACGCCCTTTCAAGTCTGAACAGACGGCTCCTTGTTAGGTCTTGTGGATTGTTGTTAGCCAACCATGAGTAGCAACACACACACACATATATATATATAGTTAAAGTACAACTTAAACTGCAAACATACTGGGATTGAACTGATAACTAGTCAGTTTATATTAAGATCTGTTTGTATGTGTATATATTTGAGGTAATTTTTGTTATTAGTGCAATGTTAGAGAAATAATAATAATGTTATTATCAAAGAGAGAGAGAGAGAGCTCGAATTAGAATCCCGCCGTGCATTTTACTTTCAACTCTTCAAGCACATCCTCTGGATTCTTTTGACCACTAAATGAAAGCCACATTAACCAAATTGAGCATCATTCAGACAACTAACTCTTAGAGGCAAAAAGCATCATTTTGACTGTTATTAGTGGAAGAATTCATTGAGAATGAATTCTACTAAAGAATATAATCTTAAGTGGAGTTAGCCACATAATAATGCTTTCACCTTGTTGTAGATGGGATTAGCGTATTAAAAAAACGTATTAGTCCCAAATACCAATTGATGCAGGTGTTCTTGAATCTTGTGGTGCTCAATTTACTAGGATACTTAATTTGTCCTCCTACACACTGATGTGTAGTTATCATCATTCATCACACCACTAGAGATGGATAGTGTCAGCTTCTAATTGAACCTTTTTTCGGAATTCCCAAATATCAATATCGATTGATCATTGATGTTTTATGTTGACAGAAATTTTTTTAACTAAAATCAACTGTCACTCACGCAATTCTATGTCAAACAACAATGAAAACAATCGTTAGGAATCCAAATGGTGGGCTCCGAATCAACAGTTGTAGTATTCTTTTAGGGTCTGTTTAATAACATAAACAAGTGATAAATCTGAACTTTTTCAGACATTCAGATGTTTTGAGTATTTGATAAATGGAAATTCATTTGCTGAACTTGTTAAGTAGTGTTGAAATTGTGTGTATTTTTAATCCTAACTGAATGCTTAATTCTGATAAGAATCAATAAAATTACTTCAATTACCTTATCTTATCTACCAAATCTACCCTTATTTGTTAATTATGTTCAAAATTCTTATCTAATTAAATAACCTAATATTCTCTATCTAATGATTTTCTATTTCTCTTTTCTCCCTTTTGAATGACTTTCACATCTTCTGTATACTCCTCATGTAATATATTTCATCTTTTATATTAATTTGATTTAAAAATAAATATTGTAATTTTCATACCTAACATTTTTAGTTAATTAAATCATAGGTTCTATTTCTTTTTGGATGAAAAGATATAAGAGCAAAATTGTCAAATTTAACTTATTAAACATTTAGTTATACATATTTATAAACAGTATAAATAGATTTAGCATTAAAATATAGACATTCATATATTTCTTTTCAGTGCTTAAAATTCAGCAAATTAATTGTTTCAGTATTCAGATTTCAGAATTCAGATTCAGTTTTATCAAATGAAACCTTAACCTCCCATGTGTCAACCAACACATTAATTCTGTTTGAATGTTGCTATCATGGCCAAAGATGGAATGTCCCGCCCCCAAAGTTTTTAGATGATTTAGGCCTTGTTTGGAGTGTGATTTTTTTTTTTTTTTTGTAGAAAAATTTGTACGTTTTTAGTCAACATATTTATTAATTATCATTTTATCTCATATATATTTAATCGTTATAATATATTAATTCACAAAAATTTCAAAAAATAGCAATCTAAATGGGGCCTAAGTTTTCATCTTTTATAAAATTAGAAATTTTTAGAATATTTTTTATAAATTTAAAATTTTATCCCATAAAAATTAAAAAATATATTATATTATATATAAGTTTAGGTATATTTAAATTTGCCCCCTCGAAATGAATTTTTTAACTTCGTCAATGATCATGACACTGGTGCATGATGTGGTTGGCCATGGCCACTCGGTTCATTAATCATTAGATGTCTCCCTTCTTATTTGTGTTCTTTCTTTTTATTTTTTTTTTTCCAAAAACAATCTGTCTTTTTTGTTGGGCATTGGGTGTTTCTTTAGCCTTTGATTCTGATGAAGTTAAACCTTCTTTAGCTTCCTTCTTGCTTGAAAAAATGCAGAAGGAATACTTAGGGGTGCGAGACAACTCTCTCTAAGGAATCGACACGGGTGGATATAGCCTTCTTATACCCGAAATCGACACAGGTGGGTAGTAGAGCTGTTAATCGAGCCGAGTCGATCCGAGTATTTGGCTGCCGAGCTCGACTCGAGTTTAATTCGAGCCGAGCTCGACTCGAGCTCGTTAGGAAAACGAGCTTTAAAATGTGTTCGAACTCGGCTCGTTAAGTGTACATGTGGCTCGAGCTCGACTCGTTTATCACAAACGAGTCGAGCTTCACGAGCTCGTGCAAATTAACCTAAATAAAAACCTATAATTTTTAATTTTTATAATTTTAATTTCTAAAATGACAAATATGCCCTTCATTAACGAGTTCTAACGAGCTACTCGAGTATCAAACGAGCCGAGCTTACTCGGCTTGTTAACTAAACGAGCATGTTTCGAGCTCGAGCTCGACTCGTTAACCAAAATTAACGAGCCGAGCTCGAGCCTTAACGAGTCGAGCTCTAACGAGCTTTCGAGCTACTCGATTGACTTAACAGCTCTAGTGGGTAGGCAGA